ATAATGAAAAATTTCTATGCGTAAGTTGTTCCTTTTGGAATGTCTCTGAGATTAAAAAAAAAAAATCTAATACATTTATAGAACTCAAACGTTTTTTTTTTCAAACAAATAATATTTATAATTTAATCATTTAAAAATATTATTATAAACCAGTTCCTTTTTTTTTTGGCATTAGTACAACTTATTTGATATTTCATGATTATTAAGATTTCAAGAATTATTAATTCTTTTCATTTATGGATGATATCTCCGGATTTTTTTTTGTTTCTTGGACTATCAGATTTGGATAATATAATTGTTTTTTTGTTGATAGTTATGGCGGACTATCTTAAATGGTAAAATATCCAACTAAATAAGCAAATGAAATATATAGCAGTCATCTAAATTTGTAAAAGATCCAAAGAAATCAACATTTTTTTTTTTTTAAATATTGATTAATCTTACATGACCTAAGAACTTAGGGTGTATTAGTTAGAGATTTTTAATGACTTTTTAAGATTTATGAAATATTTTTGTACTAGTATAACACTCGTGTATTACACGGATGCTTGTTAAAAAATTATTCTTAAATTTTAAAATTAATGAGAAAACTATATTAAATTTAGTTTACTTTTTTTACAAAAAAAATATATTACTATATATTTTGGAATGATATGTGTTACTTATGACTTACATGTGTTATATTATATTAGTTTTTATAACTTATATCATATAACTACTTGAAATATAAATATATTATTTGATAAATAATTTTATTTTTCTAATTAATATTAAAAGTAATTTTATTATTGTTATAAAGATAAATATAAATTATTTTTTTTTATACATACAATATGGATGTTAAATCGAAACTCATCAAAAGAAGATTAATTTGATATATTAATTATGTAAAACTAATAAAAAATACAAAAGTTATTAACTTTTAAAATATATATACAATTCAATAGTTATAATAAGGAATAATATTAAAATACAATTAATACATGTAACGTAACCATAAATAATCAACATATTTATGGTAATCCGAACCTAATTATTTTCGGTTTGGAATTAAATTAAAATTTACCCAAGCCTAATAACGAAGCATGTAATTTTGCTACATAGGATTCCGAAACACCAGAAGCAGTCACGTAGGCTCAGCGCATTCTGTATTAATATATAGGAGGGATTTAAATGAATCGTTTTAAAAAGTCTAGAGGTATTTAATTAGGTTTTCTTATGACTTTTTAAAAGTACTAGTATTCGACCTGTGCATTTGCACAAATGTAAATAAAGTATTGTGAGTTATTTGTATGCATATAATGATTAATTATTTTTTTTTCACCTTTTTGCTGGCCAAATTTACAATTAAAGGAGTTGGAATATCTTTTTTTTAAAAAAAAATTGCGTTTATCTGATTGGATGTATTGTATATTTTGGTACGTCTTTCTTTGTGAATTATTTATTATTTATTTAAGAATTTTAAATACGTTTTTTATTTTAAAAATAATAATAATTTAAATTTAACCACAATTATAACATCTAATCACATTATACGGTAAACACATTAT